CTTATTATCAATTTGCCTATTCAAGTCCAGATGAATAGAGACATAAACACAGATCCTAATAAACGTGTGGTAAGGTTAGGTTAGGTTAGAGTGGTAAGGTTAGGTAAGGTTAGGTTAGGAGGGTTAGGTTAGGTTAGGTTAGGAGGTGGTTAGTTAGGGGTTAGGAGAAGAGTTAGGAGTGGTTAGGTTAGGTTAGTTAGAGTGGTAAGGTTAGGTTAGGGTTTAGGAGTTAGTTTAGGGGTTAGGAGTTAGAGTTAGAGTTAGTTAGGAGTGGTTGGGTTAGGTGGTTAGAAGGTTAGGTTAGGAGTGGTTGGTTAGGGGTTAGGTTAGGTAGAGTGGTAAGGTTAGGAGGTAGGTTAGGGTTAGGGTTAGGAGTGGTAAGGTTAGGTTAGGTTAGAGTGGTAAGGTTAGGTTAGGGTAGGTTTGGGTTAGGTTAGGTTAGGTGGTTGGGTTAGTTAGTTAGGTGGTGGTTTAGGTTAGGTTAGGAGTGGTTAGGGTTAGTTAGGTTAGTTAAGTTAGTTAAGAGTGGTTAGGTAGAGTTAGGAGGTTAGGTTAGGTTAGGTTAGGTTAGGGTTAGGTAAGGTTAGGTTAGGTTAGGGTTAGGTTGGGTTAGGTTAGGGTTAGGTTAGGTTAGGGTTAGTGGTTGGGTTAGGGTTAGATGGATGTAAATGTTGCATGTGTAGCTTATTGACTCTGATGGTTGTGTGTGGTGGTGGTAGTAGTAGTGGTGACTGGATTTAGCTCTGATTGGTCCAGGTTCAAACACAGAGGTACAGGAGCCACAGCCAATCAGAGGAGGTAGTCAGATTACTACTGGGAGGTGGGGTTGTCTGCACGGCCAAAGTCCTCCTCCTCCCTACCTTCTCATCCTCCTCCTCCACGAAGGTTCTTTACCCCGTCTCCTTCACCGTCTCTTTCGTCGCCTCCTTCACCGTCTTCTCTAACGACTCCTTCACCGACTCCTTCACTGTCTCCCCCATTGCCTCGTTCAATACGTCCTTAGCAGCCAACACACTCAAAACACACACACAAACATACACACACACTCACGGCTGGCTGTCAAAACACACACACACACACACACACACACACACACACACACACACACACACACAATACAAGTTACAGTTATGTATTCTTATATTACAAAACCATTATAATCGAACACTTAGAACAACTATGGTCTAGGGATATATTATAGAGTTAAACTGTGAGTACAATATGGCATTAGAGGGACATATTAAAGAGGTCATATTAGGGGTTCAAAGAGGGTGTGTGTGTGTGTGTGTGTGTTTAAAGAAGACGTGAATAGTGTATGTATGTATGTATGTATGTATGTATGTAAAGACGTTCATAGTGTCGATGTGCTAACTTTGAATCCCTGACGTGACCTCCTTATCAACATACGAGGAACCTGAAAGGATGAACTACAATATTATAACATCTAGGAAAACACAAGTTAATATAGAGGTGTTAATGATAAAAAGACAAGGTATTAATGTTAGATTCACAGGTGTTAATATTAAGCTCTCAGGTGTTAAAATTAGGTACACAGGTGTTAGTATTAGGTTAATGGGTGTTAAAACGACAGATGTTAAAATATGAAGCTCATGGATGTTAATTATACAGAGGCAGGTTATCAATGTTAAATACACAGGTGGAAATGTACTCGAATAAAAGGTGTTTTTAGCTGAGGGTGACAAGGGGGCTGGTGACAAGGGGCTGGTGACAAGGGGGCTGGTGACAAGGGGCTGGTGACATGGGGGCTGGCGACAAGGGGCTCGTGACATTCTACTGGCATTTCCTCACCGCTTCCTCCTCGCTCTCCGGCCAAACTCACACTCCATACTGGCCAAGCATTCCTTCACACTCTTACACACACACATACATACATACATACATACACATATGCATACATACATACATACATACATACATACATACATACATACATACATACATACGTACACTTAACAAGATGGGTAATGTCCTGTAAACACGCATGTATATTAAGAGCCCATATGCATATGTATATAGAGAGAATATTAAGTTATTATCTATAAGAATGATCATATAAGAATACATTATACGTGTGTCTTATGTATGCCACCAAACAGTCGTATAAATACAATGAAATATGAATATACACCTCCTGTCACATACTAGTAAATGTAAGCTAGTATACAAGCACAGACAGGCGAATAAGAGGGTCACATACTAGGAAATATGAAAGCACGGGTGAAACTGCATACAGGAAGAACCCGCATTAACCCGCACACACGCACACACACACACACACACACACACACACACACACACACACTTACTATTAACTATTAAAATATATTTCTTTTCCTATTGCAAAAAAATAAAAATAAAATATCCTGACTGTAACCCAACCATTTGTCTATACTGTAACTGTAAGCGCCCTAAGTCATAATACTGTACTGTAATGTCATAATACTGTACTAAAAATCTACCCCACTGAATTAAAACATAAATAATTCCTCCTTTTAAAATATTTGTGGTAATTTATTTCCCCCCCTTCCCTCCGTCCGTCCCTTGAATGACGTCTCAAGAGGCATAACCCGACTCTCACGTGCTCTTAAGTGGCTGTTGCCTTATGTACACCACTTTACACATATTAATTAATCAAATCTCCCTAAAAAAATGAGACCTAGTGTTTGGTGATTATTTTTAGGGCGTGAAAAAATGTCATAAGTGCTTAGGCTTAAAATTTAATGGGGTTTTATTGGGAATGATTAAGGTGTTTTAAGGGAAGAGGATTTAGGATTTAAGGAGAGGATTGAGGGTAGGGGTTAAGGGTTTAAGGGTAGGATTAAGGGTTTAAGGGTAGGATTGAGGGACAACTAGTGTAGGATGGAGAGACAAATAGTGTAGGATGCAGGACAGGGTGTGAAGGATGCAGGACAGGGTGTGAAGGATGCAGGACAGGGTGTGAAGGATGCAGGACAGGGTGTGAAGGATGCAGGGAGGTAGGAGCCATCATTGATCAGCTCGTTCTAAAGGAGAAACGACGAATGGGTGTAAACGCTTGGTTGACTGCTAGCGGGAGGGGGAGGAGCAGGAGGAAGAGCGGGGAGAGGGAGGAGGGAGGAGGGAAAAGAGGAGAGGAAGAGGAAGAGGGGAGGGAGGGGGAGGAGGAAGAGGGGGAGGAAGAAGAGGGGGAGGGAAGAGGAGGAGGAGGAAGAAGGGGAGGAGGAGGAGGAGGAGGAAGAAGGGGGGAAAAGAGGGGAGGAGGAAGGAAGGGAGGAAGAGGAGGGAAAAGAGGAGAGGGAAGAGGGGAGGTGGGAGGAGGGGAAGAGGAGGAGGAGGAAGAAGGGGAGGAGGAGGAGGAGGAGGAAAGAGGGGGAGGAGGAAGAAGGAAGGGAGGAAGAAGGGAGAGGAGAGGAAGGAGGGAGAAAACTTTACCTTTACACTCAAACAACATTTTCATTTACTTCTTTGATATTTATAAACAAGGACTCAAACAAGTTATTACTTAAACAATCTTATTAATCAAGCAATTTCTTATGCAGGCTACAGTGACAACCTCGATATAACGGGAATTTCATCTCTATATAGTTCGTTAGATGGGAGGTTTCGCATATAACGGACCCTCGATATAGCGTACTTTCATCTCTATATAGTTCGTTAGATAGAGGTTTCACTATATGACTGTATCTCTAGGAACAATCAACATCTTGCTTATCTTGATTAAAACAAAGAAACTCAGCCTCATTCTTAACCTATCAACATTTGCAATCAACTTTCAACATTTGCAACATTTACCAGATTAAAAAAAAATTTATCTTCACCAAATTAATCACTAAACTTGCTTCCTTTCAATTATCGTTTATCCATAATCAAACAATGAATTTCAACTCCATCAATCCACCAATCAATCACTTAATTAAGCTCAACCAATCACCACTCCCTTACCTTGCAACTACCCAATCACCACATCGTCTTTTATCCAATCAAGTAATCGACTATTTGTATCTCTCTAATTAATCAATCTATCAAGCAAGCAATCAAGATAGATAGATAGATAGATAAAGATGGAGGTATAGATCAACTGATAGACTGAAATAGCTCGATAGACTGATAGATAGATATAAATAGATGGATAGATTGAAATAACCAAATACTCTCTCTCAAGACTGACAAAACTAAGCTTCACACGCACGCACGCACACACACACACACACACACACACACACACACACACACACACACACATACACGTTAAAATCTTCCTGATGCGACACTAAGATGAAACTAATTATACTAAAAATATGTTAAAATTATATATATACCCGTAATTAGGTATTAGGAAGCAACTCAGTAAGCTATATGAACTTTATATTCTCTGTGTTAAGGTAAAAGTTAGTTTATATTGAGGTAAAATTACTTAAAATGTTAATATTTGGGTTAAGTTCAAGGAGAAGATGTTAACTTTGGTAAATGTGGTGTTAAGTGTCTTATATGGGTTAATTCGTTAGGTTAAAGCATCGGTGTGATACTGCCATGGGTAAGAGTTAGTGTGGTGTTGTTTCTGACCCTTTGTGTACAAGGCACTATGACCTGTCCTGGTGTGCCACAATTTCTTTCTCTGGCACTAGTGACCTGAGGACCACCATGACCAGGTTACTCAGATACTGGTGACCTAAGGACTATCATGGCCAGGTTACTCAGATACTAGTGACCTAAGGACTATCATGGCCAGGTCACACAGATACTGGTGACCTAAGGACTATCATGGCCAGGTCACACAGATACTGGTGACCTAAGGATCACCATGGCCAGGTCACTTTGTCACTACTGTAAGACTTTGTGACGCCATACTTCTGCCCGGCCATGGCCACACGTCAGCACAGCACGAGTTGACGACCCAGGCTGTAGGAGCGGCACCCGGGGCGGCACCTTGGTCTGGGGTCATGAGTGGGAGTGGCGCCGCGTAGCAACAACTCAGGCTGTGGTGATGTGGTTATACTGACCTGATGCATGAGGTGAACACACAGCCGGGAGGTAGATATATGACCATGCAGCGACAACTCCACACTTAACATCGTTCACACACTCTCAACAACAACATTCTTCATATATTTGGCCCCGGTCGGAGGAGCGACTGATCCACCACACAATAGGTGACACCCTCGTCTTCACTGTCAGGAAACCGTGTCACTCTCAGCCTCAACTGCCGCTACGTAATACATCCTACATAAAGGTTGTGTTGGGGCGTGGTAGAGCGCTGCCCCCTTGGGTGCCACACCAGTCTCCTACCTTCCCTGGAGAGAGACAGCAAGTAGTTGCTGCGTGTGTGTTAACGTGAGGCTCTGCTGCTCACTACACCACACACCAGGGTCTGGTCCGTGACTGCCGCCTGCACACACCCGACACTCTCACTCGCCAAGTGTGACTGACTGACCGCCGGACGACCACTGCCTTAAGTAACCTCTGTGGGTGTAATGGTGGCGCCACCCACCCTGATGGACGGCCGACCTCAACTCCTGTCCTTAGATGGCTGGGATCACTCAGGTGCGGCGGAATAGGCTCTCTGAGGCAGAAGGAAGAGGGGCAGTGGGTGGGCGTGTGAGGTGGGCGTGTACAGGGAGGAGAGAGTGGTGTGGGCGGCGCGGGCGGTAGTGTCCCCCGCGACGGTGCTCGACGCTCTGCAGCAGGAATGCGGCCCGCGCTGCTGACTGCCAAACACGATGGCTGCCGCACGCACCAACATCCACATATTGTAACCACATTTTAATACCCAACCGACACCCAGATCGTGACCCTGGCGGGCGAGGTGGCTAACACGTTGTTGATAGTGTGTGTGGGGGTGTGTGGGGGGAGGGCACCTAGGGCAGTGGCTGGGCAGGGGCCCCAAGATGGGTAGAGTGGCAACTATTCCCCAGCAAGTGGTTACCAATGGCACGAAGACACGAGGGGCCCCGGCGGCTCCCTCCCTCACACCAACACAACATCTCCACCTCTGATTGACATACACAAACACAAACACACACACACACACACACACATCATATCCCTCACCTAATCACCACTAACACGCCCCTTAACGCCGTCAGCAGGTAGCGGTAGAAGGAGGCGCTGCGGCAGAGATAGCTGGGCGCGCACCACTCTACTCACGACTATGACTAACACAGCGCTCAGTCGGCCAGCCTCACGTTACGCCGCGCTACACCACAACACCTGTCACGCCGCTACCCTGCCCTCACACACACACACACACACACACACAATATACACAACTGCAGAGAAAATATACACATAAACACAATATACTCACGACAAATTCACAACAAACCCACCTTACACGTTCACCCATCATAAACATACACACATTCACAATAAACACACACACACATTCTTATTAATGACTGAATTGCATATAGTACATCCAACGTCGTAACAAATGGAGACGGGACGTTGTATTCACATATAAAGAGTCATCTATATAAAATGTGTGTGAGAGAGTGTGTGTGTGTGTGTGTGTGTGTGTGTGTGTGTGTGTGTGTGTGTGTGTGTGTGTGTGTTTCGATCATACACCTAGATATAATTAAATAGAAAATATGTACAAAAAATAACTTATATACGCTAGGGAAGAAAGTCAACACACACACACACACACACACACACACACACTTTTCCAGGTCACACGGTCGTCATTCATGTCTCTAGCTTAGACAAGTTCACCTGTAGCTCTACCTGTAAATACACAGGCTGTAGGTGTAAATGTAGGGTGTAGAGGTGTTGTAGGTGGTATAGGTAGTGTAGATGGTGGTAGGTGGTGTAGAGGTGTATACAGTAAGTGGTGTTGTTAGTGTAGTGGGTAAGTGTGGCGCAGAGTGGAGGGAGGTGTTAGAGGGGAGGGAGGGGTGGAGGGAGGGTAATAGAGGGTAGTGGAGGGAAGGGGAGGGGTGAAGGGACGGACGCCAGCCGGATCGATCTTGGGCCCCACAGACCGCGCCCTCACGACTCTCCGCTCACCCACACCCACGTTTGGCTATCAACACCACGTGGTTCCCTTCCCCCCCCCCTACACTCCCTCCCTTCATCCCACACTCAACACCAAGTGGTTCCCTTCCTGCTTCTCAACACCACGTGGTTCACTACCCGCTTCTCAACACCACGTGGTTCCCTTCCTGCTTCTCAACACCACGTGGTTCCCTCCCTGCTTCTCAACACCACGTGGTTCCCTCCCTGCTTCTCAACACCACGTGGGTTCCCTCCCTGCTTCTCAACACCACGTGGTTCCCTCCCTGCTTCTCAACACCACGTGGTTCCCTCCCTGCTTCTCAACACCACGTGGTTCACTCCCTGCTTCTCAACACCACGTGGTTCTCCTCAAAGCCACAACACCACGGTTCCCTCCTGCTTCAACACCACGTGGTTCTCAACACCACGTGGTTCCCTCCCTGCTTCTCAACACCACGTGGTTCCCTCCCTGCTTCTCAACACCACGTGGTTCCCTCCCTGCTTCTCAACACCACGTGGTTCCCTCCCTGCTTCTCAACACCACGTGGTTCCCTCCCTGCTTCTCAACA